CCGTTTAATTGAGTTACAAGCCGTATCGACAAAAATGAATCGCTCGACCGTAAATTGTAGCACAAATTATTTAATGCCATTGTAGGAATATGGGCCACAGAGGCGCAATATTCATTGTCATTCTCAATCTCCGACTTCCTCCAAAACTCGGCGCGTCATTCTTTGAGTGTACGTGACATAATTTACGAGCTATTTATAGAGGCGATCGGTCCTAAAGGAGTCGCCATAAATAAATTTGACACGAAGAGTAACGGTCGAGAATCGGAACCATGGGGCCCCCCTAAGAGGTCGTTACAGGTGCAGCAATTACATAACGAGGTCAAGGTGGCCGCAATCATCTGGTGCTTTGTGATTTATTGGTTCGCATTAAGGTTAACATACGTCAAATATGCAATAAACTTTAGTTACGGGTATTATTTCAAGTGCTTTGGGCCGCAATTAGATGCTGGGGATTCGCCTGTCATTAGCATTTTCTTACAATTGAATTAAATTATTTCCTGCATTCGAGAGCTTAACGTGGGAAAATGTCATATCCTGGCGATTTGTTTAGCGTGTTAAGATTTAATTGCCACAAAGAGCGGCGACGAAGGGCGGGTAGGTCCGCACGCCACTGGTTTTTGGTACTTGCTGCACGTCATAAGCGGACACGTTTCCATTGTCTTGTCTCCCTCATCCTACATTCCGGTCATGCACGGAGAGGTATTTAAACACACTGTTCAGAAAACAGTCAAAAGCCTACAAGAGCCGAGCGCGATATAAATAAATTTGTCGATTTAAATTACGAATTTTTGTTAATTACAGTTTGCGCTAAGATTCTCATTCCCTACCACGGAATTTGTCAGTCCAAAGATAAATACCACGAGTACTTTAGACATTTATTTACCAAAAAGCGGGAGTTTTAAATCAACATACGCCCGGCGAAACTGCGATTTCCAATTTGACGAATTTGTATTAAAGCTCAGCGATTTTAATATCGCTGTCGAGCCGGAATTTTTTCTTTTTGGAAACGCACATTTCCTTTCAGTCGAAATGTTTTACTTGCACATGAACGTCGCTTACAGATGAATTACCTACATCAAACCGACTGAGACAGGGGGGTGGAGGGTGGGAGCGTGTTTAAAGCTGCAGAACCCACGTCAAGTGCAGTAATCACGGGTAGTGAGGTAGAGTTGAGAAAGGCCGGGAAGTTGGAAGTAATTTTCATATCGAAAAACTTATTTGCGATCGTGCCTTCTGCGGTAGGGAGAATTTAAAACCATTTAAGAATAGACCCCCAGCGAAAAGAAAATTAAATGATCATCCCCCTACAATCATTATCACCATGAGATCATTCGTATTGTACGATTCGAGACCTTCTTGTAGAGAATATAGCGGAAGATGATAAAATCGGTTAGAAATCGGGACATCCATTTGGTTGGTTTGCAGAAAACAGATTGGCGATCGACCGTTTTCCACATCATTCAGTCGTGTTTAGCTATTTTAATTTGAGTCATCCCCTTCTGCCTGGAGGTAAGGATTAATCCGAATTTGCAAACGACCGTATATTGCAGCTAAAATATACACAACGGACTAAATTTGGGGCCCAATTTCTACGCGAAAGTTAAGTACACATAATTAATTGCATTCTTGAAGTAATGATTCATGGTGACAGGTTCAAAATTAATGGTAATTTGAGAGTTTTACTCTGAAAACGGCAGAGTTTAAAAAATATAGACAACGGACTAAATTTGGGGCTCAATTTCTACGCGAAAGTTAAGTACCCGGAATTAATTGCATTATTGAAGTAATGATTCCTGGTGACAGGTTCAAAATTATGAGTAATGTGGGATTTTTGCTCTGACAACCGCAGAGTTTAAAAAATATACACAACGGACTAAATTTGGGACCTAATTTCGACGCGAAAGTTAAGCACTCCTAATTAATTGCATTATTGAAGTAATGATTCCTGGTGACAGGTTCAAAATTATGAGTAATGTGGGATTTTTGCTCTGACAACGGCAGAGTTTAAAAAATATAGACAACGGACAAAATTTGGGGCCCAATTTCTACGCGAAAGTTAAGTACTCCTAATTAATTGCATTATTGAAGTAATGATTCCTGGTGACAGGTTCAAAATTATGAGTAATTTGGGATTTTTGCTCTAACAACGGCCGGGTTTAACAAATATAGACAACGGACTAAATTTGGGGCCCAATTTCTACGCGAAAGTTAAGTACTCATAATTAATTGCATTATTGAAGTAATGATTCCTGGTGACAGGTTCAAAATTATGTGTGATTTGAGAGTTTTACTCTGACAACGGCAGAGTTTAAAAAATATAGACAACGGACAAAATTTGGGGCCCAATTTCTACGCGAAAGTTAAGTACTCCTAATTAATTGCATTATTGAAGTAATGATTCCTGGTGACAGGTTCAAAATTATGAGTAATTTGGGATTTTTGCTCTAACAACGGCCGGGTTTAACAAATATAGACAACGGACTAAATTTGGGGCCAAATTTCTACGCGAAAGTTAAGTACTCATAATTAATTGCATTATTGAAGTAATAATTCCTGGTGACAGGTTCAAAATGATGTGTAATTTGAGAGTTTTACTCTGACAACGGCAGAGTTTAAAAAATATAGACAACGGACTAAATTTGGGGCCAAATTTCTACGCGAAAGTTAAGTACTAATAATTAATTGCATTATTAAAGTAATAATTCCTAGTGACAGGTTCAAAATTATGAGTAATTTGGGATTTTTGCTCTAACAACGGCAGAGTTTAAAAAATATAGACAACGGACTAAATTTGGGGCTCAATTTCTACGCGAAAGTTAAGTACCCGGAATTAATTGCGTTATTGAAGTAATGATTCCTGGTGACAGGTTCAAAATTATGAGTAATGTGGGATTTTTGCTCTGACAACCGCAGAGTTTAAAAAATATACACAACGGACTAAATTTGGGACCTAATTTCGACGCGAAAGTTAAGCACTCCTAATTAATTGCATTATTGAAGTAATGATTCCTGGTGACAGGTTCAAAATTATCTGTGATTTGAGAGTTTTACTCTGACAACGACAGAGTTTAAAAAATATAGACAACGGACAAAATTTGGGGCCAAATTTCTACGCGAAAGTTAAGTACTAATAATTAATTGCATTATTAAAGTAATAATTCCTAGTGACAAGTTCAAAATTATGAGTAATTTGGGATTTTTGCTCTAACAACGGCAGAGTTTAAAAAATATAGACAACGGACTAAATTTTGGGTCCAATTTCTACGCGAAATTTAAGTACTCGTAATTAATTGCGTTATTGAAGTAATGATTCCTGGTGCCAGGTTCAAAATTTGAGAGTTTTACTCTGACAACGGCAGAGTTTGGAAAATGTACACAACGGGCTAAATTTGGGGTCCAATTTCTACGCGAAATTTAAGTACTCGTAATTAATTGCGTTATTGAAGTAATGATTCCTGGTGACAGGTTCAAAATTATGTGTGATTTGAGAGTTTTACTCTGACAACGGCAGAGTTTAAAAAATATAGACAACGGACAAAATTTGGGGCCAAATTTCTACGCGAAAGTTAAGTACTAATAATTAATTGCATTATTAAAGTAATAATTCCTAGTGACAGGTTCAAAATTATGAGTAATTTGGGATTTTTGCTCTAACAACGGCAGAGTTTTAAAAATATAGACAACGGAATAAATTTGGGGCCAAATTTCTACGCGAAAGTTAAGTACTCGTAATTAATTGCGTTATTGAAGTAATGATTCCTGGTGACAGGTTCAGAATTATGAGTAATGTGGGATTTTTGCTCTGACAACGGCAGAGTTTAAAAAATATAGACAACGGACTGAATTTGGGGTCCAATTTCTACGCGAAAGTTAAGTACTCGGAATTAGTTGCGTTATTGAAGTAATGATTCCTGGTGACAGGTTTAAAATTATGTGTAATTTGAGAGTTTTGCTCTGAAAACGGCAGAGTTTAAAAAATATAGACAACGGACTAAATTTGGGGGCCAATTTCTACGCGAAAGTTAAGTACTTAGAATTAATTGCATTATTGAAGGTAAGGATTCCTGGTGACAGGTTCAAAATTATGTATAATTTGAGAGTTTTACTCTGAAAACGGCAAAGTTTAAAAAATATAGACAACGGACTAAATTTGGGGCCAAATTTCTACGCGAAAGTTAAGTACTCGTAATTAATTGCGTTATTGAAGTAATGATTCCTGGTGACAGGTTCAGAATTATGAGTAATGTGGGATTTTTGCTCTGACAACGGCAGAGTTTAAAAAATATAGACAACGGACTGAATTTGGGGTCCAATTTCTACGCGAAATTTAAGTACTCGTAATTAATTGCGTTATTGAAGTAATGATTCCTGGTGACAGGTTCAAAATTATGTGTAATTTGAGAGTTTTACTCTGACAACGGCAGAGTTTGGAAAATGTACACAACGGGCTAAATTTGGGGCCAAATTTCTATGCGAAATTGTAATTTAGCAAGGTTCCAAGTTTAGTAATTACACTAATTTTGGACCGCAAGGTTTTTAATGGAACTTTTGTTTACGATGGCAAATTTTTCAAGTTTAATTTTTCATGGCGAGAGAAAGTATAGGTTTTGGCGCCAAATTTAGGTCCTAACACAGCGCGGCGTATTATTTTATTCCCAGATTGGATCGGTATTATTCTCTTTACGCAACTACTTTCCTCATTCACGTTTTGTAATTAGCAAAGTTTCGTTTAGCAATCCTTGCAAAGTGGCACTTTATTGCTAATTACAAAATAACGCAATTAACTTTTGATCCTCAAACTTAATTGGCCACTTACAACTTTAAATACGTTCGCGCTATTCAATCGAATGGCAATGCTGATGAAGCTCTTCAGCAGACGACAGTCCCAGACGGATAGAAACTGGTTTATGTTTATTTATGAACGAGCGGACTCCAAAGGGTTAATTATAGTAGGCATCGTCGGACGCCGACGGACGGATATAGGGGATAGTTTACAATACCTGGAACTGATAGCAGCACAAAGGCGCAGAAGGGTATGAACACGATGAACGCAAGCACCAGGAAGCAGTTACGCCTTCGCAGGGAGGACATGGCGAGGTTAGTCAAAGCCATGCCCTTTCGTCACTCATTTCGCCACCGAAACACGTACAACATCGCTCTTTAAACAGTTCTTTCAATTGGAAACGTTCGCGAAATCGTTACGTCGCCGTTACGTTCATATTCTCCTCCGAAACGTTCAGATACTACGACACATGTCACTTGGTGCAAACTAAATTTACGCCGGACGGAGTCCGGTTCTTATGTAAAGGACGTAGTGAGCACGCGGTCTCGTCGGCGATGCGAGCGTTTACGAACCGCACCTCATCGCGCGCGCACTCTTATTGATCCCTTTTCACCTTCCTCGTAAACACACGCAACGCACATGGAGGACCACCTGATGGACTATCCATAAAAGTCCGAGACCGTTAAGATTGTAAATAAAAGGTCGACGGGGGCACCACGAAGATGACCCACCTTAATAGCAACGTCGAGCGGTCAAGATCGCAACAAAAAAAGCGATCCGTTGGTGCCGTTAACGCACACACGCATCTTCGATGACGTAATCGACGTATGTACTACATCTGTTTCGGCACCCCCTTCTGAGTGTGAATGACATGGGGTTGGGGAATGGGGATTAAACCCTTACTAACGGCTTGTTTGGGAGTTTCCATTACATTGTACCGGAAAAAATCTAATAATCTGAATATTCAGAATCGTCCGAAGCCGAAAGAAATCAAAAAAGGACCGGGAAAAATCGGGAGCGTTCGAAAAAACGGAAAAATCCCAAGATTAAGCTCTGGATCCATCCGGAGAAAGTATCAAGAATTTGTAGAAAATCAGAAAATGATCGGGAACATTCAAGGAAACGAAAGAGTCAGAGGAGCTTGACGATATCCGAAGAATGAGAAAGTGCAGAATGGGAAGAAGAAGTCGAAAAAAGGAAACGTGTTGAAGAATCTGAGGTCTGAAGAATTCTGTATATCGAGGCTCGTATCCAGATATTCGCAACATTTCAAATTTGAGCTTTGTAAGACGTCATTCGCATCAATTTTGAAGGTGACGCCTATCGTTTGAAATTGAGGGTCATGAAGACCGCATAAACAATTATTTCAGGCTGAAATCTTGACACCAAGTTTCAAATTTGAACTTTGAAAGACGTTATTCGCTTCCGATTTGAAGGTGACGCCTATGGTTTGAAAATGAGGGTCATGAAGACCGCATAAGCAATTATTTCAGGCTGAAATCTTGACACCAAATTTCAAATGTGAACCTTGAAAGACGTTATTCGCATCAGATTTAAAGGTGACGCCTATCGTTTGAAATTGAGGGTCATGAAGACCGCATGAACAATTATTTCAGGCTGAAATCTTGACACCAAATTTCAAATTTGAACTTTGAAAGACGTTATTCGCATTCAGATTTGAAGGTGACGCCTATCGTTTGAAAATGAGGGTCATGAAGACCGCATAAGCAATTATTTCAGGCTGAAATCTTGACACCAAATTTCAAATTTGAACTTTGAAAGACGTTATTCGCATCAGATTTGAAGGTGACGCCTATCGTTTGAAAATGAGGGTCATGAAGACCGCATGAACAATTATTTCAGGCTGAAATCTTAACACCAAATTTCAAATTTGAACTTTGAAAGACGTTATTCGCTTCAGATTTGAAGGTGCCGCCTTTCGTTTGAAATGAGGGTCATGAAGACCGCATAAACAATTATTTCAGGCTGAAATCTTGACACCAAATTTCAAATTTTAACTTTGAAAGACGTTATTCGCATCAGATTTGAAGGTGACGCTTATCATTTGAAATTGAGGGTCATGAATACCGCATAAATAATTATTTCAGGCTGAAATCTTGACACCAAATTTAAAATTTGAACTTTGAAAATGAGGGTCATGAAGAGTATCAGGAGAACGTATATCACAGAAGAGGTCTCTTTCTAACTTTTCAATTTACCTCATACCGTAAACTGGGAGATATTCTTTGCCCCAGTGATAGGTACGCTGAACCACAAAACGTTTAGTCTTAAGACTCCCTCGTGTAAGTGCTCTGGATAATAAACTACATCTATATCTGGTGAGGTTAACATGAACAAGGAAAAACCCATTTCTGGCACCATCTTTGATCAAAACGTCCGTGTAACCCTAAATGTTCGAATTTTTGATGTTAAAAAAAAGAAGGGGGTACTGTAAGGGAACTTTCCTAGATTACTCGATTTAATTTTTTCTAGTACCCACCAAGCAATAACGTTAGCTTTCGTGATATTTGTGAAAATTATCAGGTGTAATCTACTCTCTAAAAATGTGGGGTAGTAAGTCGAATATTGTTCTATTTAGATACAAATTGACGGCTTGAGGGAAACGACTTTATTTAGAAAGCTCCAAAACGTATTAAGGTATTGATCGATCCTTTTACAACTGGAGAAAATAAGAGCGCATTGAATTCGTTGTAAATACGAGCGAATTTTTCAAAAAAAAAGGGTCTCGTGCGGATTTTAATACCTTTCAATTCCGCTAACGCTTTTCGAATTACTAACGATCGTTTTCAATTAAGACAAACAAATTATTAATTGCGCCTTTAGATCTTTGGGAAACAATTAACGGCGCGCGTACACGAACATCCCCCATTAGCCGAAGATGGGGAGGGAAAGGTTGCTGGAAAAATTATTTTTAGATAATAATTGACATTAAAGTGGTAGGTAGTTTCCGCTTTCAGTTCGACGCTGGATGACGTCGCGAGGTAATGTCGTTACCGGGGAAAGTGCGACAGGATGGACGGGCGTCGTCGTTGGCCGCGAATCAGCACCAATTTCAGGTGATCTTATTCTATTTCCGTAAGATTTATAGTACATCGTTGGGATGTAACTGCTATGTAGCTAACCTTCAGTCCGATAGTAAATGAAATGTTAATTTACGCGTTTGTTTACGTGGTAGACGTCAGTGCGATATTATGTAAAGTTATGAGATGTGACGTGCGTCGACCCTCATAACTTTGCTGTCCACCAGGATACGACACAATGCCTGAGGAATGTATCCCATAGCCGGAGTATATGTAACGCACATTCTCCTTAACATAGAACGTGACCGAGAACATAAACGGAAAATGTATAAATAAGCAGGACCCTACACCACTTTATTTTTCTTTGTTTGTTTTAATCAAGTTTGACACTAAGTTATGTCACGTATGATCATTATCTTGTTCCAAACTCAACAGGCAGCAAAATTGTTTTTGAGTTTGCACTTGTAAATGATCTCAATTTATGAAATGCGTGAAAACCTACGACTTCATTCTCGCTACACTTTACGTAGAACTCCACTTAAAAATTTTGCAACTGCGAAGTAGCATGATCCATAATAAGTCGTGAATTCGGGATGCGTTTTTATATCTGTTTTGCTTCCCACTGTTCAAGCGTCCATAAATTGTATGCTTCAATCGTCATGTAGGCCACTACGATGAAACCCGTTTTTTCCCACTTTTCGAACTACCTACAATTGATATCTATGAAAAATACCAAAATTGAACATCACGAGACAATAAGCTAAAGCGCGGGTGGGGGCTGGGGGGGTAAAGTGGCGAGTTCAGGTTAAAATAATATTTTTAAAATGTTTAATTAGTGAAAAAGTGTATGGCAAAGACTAGCCTAAAAAATTGAAGATGCAGAGTAAAGTCTTCGAAGTTTCGAATTCTTTAAAGATCCAAAGGATAAGAAAGCGGAACGTGAGCCGTGACTCAAAACGGCAGTTAAACATTCCATAACCTCCAGACCCCCTGGTTCTGCATTAGTTTCAAAGCTTTTAGAGCCCTTACAATTTACACAATCATTTTTGGAATTAAATGTACAAGAGCTGAACATTTTGGGGATGAACGTCTCTCTGGGGGGTATGGAATACCCCCCAGTAAATGAACATCTTTATGATCGTTGTAGGGAAATTAACATTGAATCTTTTCATTGATCCTGGGGGGTATTCCATCCCCCCCAGACCCCCCGGTTCTCCATTCTTTTCAAAGCTCTTAGAGCTCTTAGGATTTACACAATCATTTTTGGAAAAAAATGTATAAGAGCTGAACATTTTGGGTGTGAACGTATCACCGGGGGGTCTGGGGGCTATGGAATACCCCCCAGTAAACGAAAATCTTTATGATCGTTGTATAGAAATTAACATTGAATCTTTTCATTGTTCCTGTGGGGTATGGAATGAAGATCTTCGTTTACTGGGGGGTATTCCATACCCCCCAGACCCCCCGGTTCTCCATTCTTTTCAAAGCTCTTACAGCTCTTAGGATTTACACAATCATTTTTGGAAAAAAATGTATAAGAGCTGAACATTTTGGGTGTGAACGTATCACCGGGGGGTCTGGGGGGTATGGAAAACCCCCCAGTAAACGAAAATCTTTATGATCGTTGTATAGAAATTAACATTGAATCTTTTCATTGTTCCTGTGAGGTATGGAATGAAGATCTTTGTTTACTGGGGGGTATTCCATACCCCTCAGACCCCCCCGGTTCTCCATTCTTTTCAAAGCTCTTAGAGCCCTTAGGATTTACACAATCATTTTTGGAAAAATGTATAAGAGCTGAACATTTTGGGGATGAACGTCTCTCTGGGGGGTATGGAATACCCCCCAGTAAATGAACATCTTTATGATCGTTGTAGGGAAATTAACATTGAATCTTTTCATTGATCCTGGGGGGTATTCCATACCCCCCAGACCCCCCGGTTCTCCATTCTTTTCAAAGCTCTTAGAGCCCTTAAGTTTTACACAATCATTTTTGGAAAAAATGTATAAGAGCTGAACATTTTGGGTGTGAACGTATCACCGGGGGGTCTGGGGGGTATGGAATACCCCCCAGTAAACGAAAATCTTTATGATCGTTGTATAGAAATTAACATTGAATCTTTTCATTGTTCCTGTGGGGTATGGAATGAAGATCTTCGTTTACTGGGGGGTATTCCATACCCCCCAGACCCCCCCGGTTCTCCATTCTTTTCAAAGCTCTTAGAGCCCTTAGGATTTACACAATCATTTTTGGAAAAAATGTATAAGAGCTGAACATTTTGGGTGTGAACGTATCACCGGGGGGTCTGGGGGGTATGGAAAACCCCCCAGTAAACGAAAATCTTTATGATCGTTGTATAGAAATTAACATTGAATCTTTTCATTGTTCCTGTGAGGTATGGAATGAAGATCTTTGTTTACTGGGGGGTATTCCATACCCCTCAGACCCCCCCGGTTCTCCATTCTTTTCAAAGCTCTTAGAGCCCTTAGGATTTACACAATCATTTTTGGAAAAATGTATAAG